AGCTGAACCACTAGCTGCGATAACCGAACAAAAAGTAGTTGATTTTATTTAGAAATCAATCATATGTCGCTTCGGTGTACCGAGTTCAATCATAACCGACAATGGTCGACAGTTTGAAGGAAAGCGACTCGAAGCTTTTTGTGAAGAATATCAGATTAAGCACTTCTTCTCTTCGCCATATCACCCTCAATCCAATGGGCAAGTCGAAGCAATCAACAAGATTATTAAAAATGGTTTGAAAGTCCGCCTTGATGCAGCAAAAGGGTCATGGCCTGAAGAGTTACCACATGTATTATGGGCTTACAGAACGACAGTTAGTCATTCAACAGGTGAAACTCCATTTTCCCTAACTTATGGATCAGAAGCAGTTATCCCTGTTGAACTCGGATCACCTACTTATCGGGTAACGAATTTCCAAGATGGCACCAACTCGGAAAACTTAAAAGCCAACCTAGATCTTTTGGACGAAACTCGTCTCATGGCGGAACTTAAGAATGCCGCATATAAACAAAGAAGTGAAAGATATATCAATTCAAAGGTGAAGCCTCGATCATTTCAAGTCGGCGATTTAGTACTAAAAAGAATTACTGGACCGGATCCGGGGCCTTTGAAACCGAAATGGGAAGGACCATTCAAAATCAGTCAAGTACTCCCAAAAGGTACTTACCGACTTGAAAAGCCAGATGGACTTGTTCTTCCATATCCTTGGAATGCCGTTTATTTGAAGAAATATTTCCAATGAATGTTTTCGATGTAACAATGACTATGTACACATTTTGATGAATATAATGAAATTGTGTGCTAAAGAGTCTCTTTAAAAGAGCCGAGATACTTTAACTTGGCATACAATTAGTCTTTATCAAGCCAAGGTTACAACTTGGACAAGACTAATGCTTTTCTTCAAAAGAACCGAGATACTTTAACTCGGTAAGTTAAATCTTTCTCGACCAAACTGATAACCTTCGAATACCAAAGTACAGTGACTTGGGAAGGTTATGGACAAATTAAAATTAAGATTGGATTGTCTTTGAATTCAAATCCTGAAGATCGGTTTGAAAAAGATAATATCCAGATTTCCATCCGAAAAGATGGTGTCCACTTAAAAATAAAGTTTGGCCGACTTCATAACACTTGAAATATTCAGCAAAAGTAAAATGCCATGCTGGATATAAATTATGAATGGAAACACTTAAAGCGACATTTTCATTCATACTAAATAGAATTATCCATTACAATAAAAATCATGTGTCTCGACATGCCGAGAACACAACCAAAATAAACAACAAAAAAGAAAAACAACATAAAAACAAAATAACTAAGTCGACTTTGCCGGATCATCAGCCTTCTCGGTAGGATCTGCAACTGATTGACTCACCATCAGATCCTCTTTATCCATTGCTGCTTCTTTTGCATCATTCTCTAAAATCTGCTCATACATGACACGACTGATGATGTCAAAGACACGGTCTTCCTCCGCCTTGGCAGTTTCTTCAATTTCAGTACGAGTTACCGGGACATATTTATTCAAAGCAATATTGTCTTCATCTCTAGGCAACTCGGTAACGATTGGTTCGTCTGCCTTCTGAGATAACTCGGCTACCTTCCTTTCTAAAAAGGCCAATACTGCTTTTCGAAGTTGTTCCGGAGTCATCTTCTCGAGTTCTTCCTCTAAACTCACTTCAGCCAAAGTCTTCACGTATATGTTGGCCAACTCCGCTTTCTTTTCCTTCTCACTCTCAAGCAACATGTTCACAAAGGATCGACGCACACGAGCTTCCCTCTTTCGATCCGAATCAGAAGCTTCGGAACTTCTTGCCTCAGCCCCGATAGAAGCCAGAAGTTCCTCACAAAAGTTTTTCTCGTCCTCATCAGCTTCGATGTGAGCGGTAGCAATTGAGGGGTTAAAGTTGTGACTCTTAATTTTGTGCAACAAAAATTTTCGACCTTCCTCGATATCGTACAATCCTTCGTCGAATCGTTCAACTACCCAACGCAAATTAAGGCAGGTGTTCATCTCAAACTCTCGGTCCTCGTCCTCAGAATCGGAATCAGCTTTAGCTTTAAGTCGGTTGGCTTCCGCCTCGAGAATTCTCCCAGCTCGGAGACCGTCATTATATTTTTCTTCGGCAAGCTTCATCTTCTCTTCCTGAAGTTTGTCGAGTTTGGCCAGATGAGCATCTCGGTCCTTCTTCAACAATTCTTCAACCTCGGACCGACTTCTCCGGGTAACCTCATGAGCTTCTTGCTCTTTGCGAAGGAGACTTTCACACCAAGATAGCTGTTCTTCAAGCATTTTGACGCGCTGCTCTGATGTGATTACTTGACTTGTCAGTTTTAGCACGTCTGAATCAAGACTAGTCTTATCAGCCCTTAAAGTCTCAATTTCGCTCTGAGCGATCAAAAGTTGCTCGTTTTGCTCGTCAATTTTAGCCTGCAATCCTTTTTCTTTCGCTGCCGCTTCCTCTCTCAGAGATGCAAGAGCCCCATCTCTGAGTTCAAGAGTATGTTTCTTCTCGTCAACTTGGGCCGCGTTAAGTCGGAAATCATCCTCGGCCATAATCAAACTGACGAGAGCACGACCAAGACAAGCCTTCGCATATTTGAACTTATATGTGCTTGGAAGCGACGACACGCCAATCTCGGACCTCGGATCCCATACCATCATTGGGACCCGAGCAGCATCAACAACGTGCTCAGGGAGTTCTACCGTACTTGAGATCTCGGGAATCTCAACTGACTCAAAAGTCGAGAACCACTTCTCGACCAATTCCCGAGGCTGCCTGAAATTCAAGAACCTTTCTTCATCAATTGGCAAGAAGGATCGATTCACAATAGGTTCCTTCTTTTTCTTCCCTCGATCGCCAGCATCATGCTTTTTCTTCATTCGTTCCTCGGCGACAGGAACACTCTCTGCACGTCTTTTTCTTGACCGAGTAGCTGGGACTTCGCGGTCAACAGCAGTTTCATGGCCACCATCGGGCTCATCTGAAGCAATTTCAATAACTGCTGGAACTTCCACCGGGACAGCCTCGACCACCGGCTCAATCTCAGGAAAAACAGCAGTAGCGGCGGCAATAGCAGCCATAGGACCCTCTGCAGCAACGGATAAAGGATCTGGCTGTGATGTTTCGACAGCAACCGCCGATGTCGCACCATCACCAACATCGGTTTTAGGAGGGTTCATGATTGGGTTCTCCAGATATGCTTTCACTAGCTTTTTTCGACCCATTCCTGATAGACGCAACTCCTTACTTTTTCCGACTTTGGTTCGGAGATCTAAATTCGGACTGTTTTGGCGGAAAGCTCTTGCGTCGCGAGTAGTCTTGAAGCCGAGAACCCCAATGAGTGGATAATATACTACAAATACAAAATTGAAGTTACTACGGTTTTCAAAAGTAACCGACTTCACATAAGATCAAACATTTATTCAAGTTTACCTGGTTGAAATGAACTGTCGGAAATTTCAGGACAAAGACCAGCAGCTTTCAGTCTTGTATTCTTCAGGATCAACTTAAAGCTACGTTGGGTCCTCTTCAACTTGAACAACTCGGTAATCCTTCCTTTCAAAGTTGAACCGAGTTTTGATCCCTTGCTCTTGGCTGCAAATAATAAAGTGTGGACCTGTTAGTACAAAAACAAGCAGTCAGAATAACTCAGTAAAACAGAGACAAACAAAAAACTTACAAACTGCAGAATTAATATTGATGGGAATTGTCATCCTATCGATTAAGGGTTTCGAAAAATGCGGAGTCTGCCAATCTCCTCCGACCCATAGCCACTCTTCTTGAAATCCATGGAGCGACTCGGGAATGTCGGTAATCAAATCACCAATTTTCAGTCCTTCTTGAGGCCTTCCCGCACAGGCATAACAAATCAACGGGTCTGCAACTTGCCTATCAGTGCATCGCCGGAATGAATATAAACTCCTAATTTCCTCAACGGTCGGCATGTCCCAACCCTTCTCCTTCAATAGCACCATAAGACCGATTATTCTCTTCCATGAATTTGGTGCTATCTGACACAGACCAATTCCCCAATTCCTCAAATAGTCTGTAATTAAAGCCGGGAGGGGAAACCGAAGTCCTGACCTTAACGAGTCGGCAAACACGCCTACACAACCTGGTGGCGGACAAGTGATCCTTTCGCCCGGGTAAGGCACGAATAACTTGACCGACGAGGGAATATAAATCTCTTCTCGAAGAACGACGATGTCGGCGTCTGTAAGAATGCTCGGTTCACCTTGGTATTCATCGATTGGTTCAGGCCACCGCCGAGCTGGACGTCTCCAATAGTCAGGGAGCGACATTGCATCTTCTTCGACTTTTTTGTCTTTCTCGGGGATGTCTCTATTCAGATTCAGCCGCTTTACTAACAGGGGATCCCATCGATAATACTCGAGAGGCAATTCCAAATCCTCATCAGTGAAAATCGGGATATCAGAAATCGTTCGACTACTGCTATCATTCGCTTGAGCAGACATCTTTCCCGAAATCGATAAAAATTAAAAATTTCGAAACGGAGCAAGAACACAGAAAGATTAGGGCAAATTCTTACCGAAATTTCCAAAAGCCCTGAATTGACGGAAAGATCACAGAAAAAGCGAGTGCGCGAAGAAAGTATCCGAAGGAAAGATTACTGAGAACACAAGAAAAAAGCAAAGAAGGATAAGGTACGGAAATTTTTCGCACATCGAAACCGACTGTAATTTATAGGTTTTGACTTATAACCGTTGGAGACATCCAGAAACGGCGCGTGTAACGGACGTGTCTTAAAACGACATAACGTTACAGTAATTATTAGTACACGTGGCCACGTCTTGAAACGCCATGTCGTTATAAATTTATATCCGTTGGACCCATTAAATACGGACACACCTTTTAAGAGCCGCCATGTCAGACCAAGTGTTGTACAAGAAATGTCAATAAAAGCTAAGTGTATCTATGTCGGTAAACAAAGCAAAGCAAGTCGGAATAAAGCAGAACCACAAGCGACATCAGCAGCTATTCAAAAAGTTCTAAATACCTACTAATGTCGGGGGCCTCACTGTTGATATCCGACTTGACTGCAAAACTGAAGATGGAGATTAATCACACTATTGAAGAAATAATCTCTTGAGAAGGTGAACTTACTGTAAGTCGGTATTAACTAAAACTAATTACCGACTTCTACATAGTTACCGACTCCGGAAGGTCTTCGAAAAAACCGATATCTGAAGCCAACATAAATAAACCGACTTCAGTTCAACCGACTATCACAAAGTCTGAATATTCCAACAGAAAGTAATCATTGAAAACATCTGATTGGACCAACAAAATGAAAAGGCAATCATTGATGTTTCCCGCCGCTTCAAAGTAAAGCAGCTCAACATTAAATGCATCTTTATCCATTCCAAGGAAGAAGACAAAAGCCACCGTACTATAAATAACAGAATTTATAATAGTACGGGGATCTTTTTTGGAACACATGGTACACGAACAAAAGACGATCTCGGTTTTCAGTCTAAAACCGACTTCTGTACTCTTGTGATTATAACAAATAAAATCAAATTGAACAATTATCCTAGTTTTCTTGACACCTGCTGTGTTTAATTTTAAGTTGTTAATTCAAGACAACAACAGTGTGCTTGAATAAACGTGCATAATATTCCGGCTGACCTTCCTCGTGAGACACGACCCGGTGTTCGAATCTCTTGATTCTACTCCGGAAAAATATTTACAACAACCGGCTGCAGTAATTCCCATGGCATGACATAGGAATTTGTGCAACTTTTCTCCCCCATTTGTTGAATTATGTTCCTCGATTACAAAATCCTTTACTCTCTCCCTCACACTTTCAATCTCAACATCCTCAACCAAAATTTCATTCCAAAATCCATCCCTGTTCTCGATAACACTCAAAATTTTGGTTGAATTTTGAGGTACAATGGCAATCCCCACAGTCCAAGCGGCAACATACCTACACCAGTCACGTTTTGACCAGCTCGGCATCTAGAAAGATCTGCCTGTAATAGCAATCGAGATCAGGGATGCAAATTGTGACGGGCTTCCCGTTGCGGGCCTTGGTCTTGGTCGAGTAGACGGCGAGAAGTACGGCCCGAATCCGAAGAGCCGTAGAGGGAGACTGGTCGGTCTGTGGCGTGGTGGTGGATTCGGCGGAGGTAGACGGCTTGCGACGATCCGGATGGTGGCGCACACCTCCTACGCTTTCAATGGCTGAAGAGGGAGATCGGGAGTCGGGGAAATTAGGATTGCGCGTCGATCTCAGAAATTAAGCGCCGATCACGAAAAATTAGGATTTGCAATTGAGATTTTTGTTTGCAATTGATATAGACATCGTTAATTTACGATTAAGTTTTATGAAGAACGTAATTTTGTGAGAAAAACTTGTACCTCATTATATAAGAAGTACTGTTAATAATAGTGATACGCGCGTCTTTTAGCCTTATATATATGTGTATGGATTTTTGTTAGTGAATTTTTCTACCAATTAAAAAACCCACAAAAAAATTAGCTTTTATTGGCCCAAGCCCAAACACATATAAGAAAATAATCATAAGCAATAAAAAAAAAAATCAAAGTCACTTTTTTTTTTTGGAATTGGAAGCAACGGGAAAGGCAAGTGGAGAGAATATCAAAATAATTTTTCCATCAATATTCCTCATCCAACATTTCCACACAACTTCCCACGCTCAGATAAAGATGATAGGGAAAGAAAAAAAAAAGTATAAAGGTGGTAGGCTAAAATGACGACAAGGATACTTGGGAAGGAAGAGTAATATAATTTCCGTCTCGTAAACACCATTGTGCACTATACTCCTCCCCATCTTTATAGCACCGTGCTTTGCTTTTCTTTTTTACTTACGTCTATTTCCAAGTTGTACTTTCTAACGGGCGGAAAATTTTTTGAGTGTAGCGGATAAACAATTTGGAGCAACTATTTCGACGATTAAGCCTTTCTTTTCAGTCTTCAATTGATTCTTCTATTTATTCGCGAAAGTGAAACACCCAACCGAGAGACCTACTACAATTATTAGGATTTTTTGGGTTTGAAGATCATTATCCAATGCATAAATCAGGTTATATTTCTCGATTATATTTTATAATTTTGGTGTTTTATTTTCATTGTTTGATTCCCAGGCTCTTTTTTTATGTGTTTGTCTATTATTATTTTTCACTGTAATTAAATGTATGTTTTGAAGAAAGGGCCCCTTACCCAATTTTCTCTATGGGGCCCAAAAATGTCAGGCCGGCCCTGATCACAACTCCATAGAGCTCATTTTTCACATGCATACATACAAGCACAGTTTAATTGAATTGTACCTCTTTTATTCACAAGATATCAATCAAGTGCATTACAAGATTTGCTTACAAAATTACAGTGAAAACATTGATTCACAACATCAAGTTCCCAACACTTTACATTAAAAAAAAAATGGATACTACGGTTTTATTACCATTAGATCACACACACGTGCACTAATGGGCCTGTCCAGATTGCATGATGAGCCCATACCCGAACGGGGAAAACTGGGCCGTGATGCGGGCCCACACCATACACCGGGCTTCAGCCCACATTCCGGAAGGACACGGCAGTCAATGAGTTTGGCAGCAGAAAAGGATATTTATCAAAAGGGTCATTTGCATATGTACCGTGATTGAACATAAAAAATTGCAAGTTTACATAATCTTAAAATTATTTGTATATGTACCAGATTAAAGCAAAATAATTAAGTAATTGCTGGATAATAAAACAATGCATTGATATATAGTTTCCTAACTAAATCCCGTAACTGAAGGGTTGCACCATAATAATGAAATACCATAATTGAATGGATTTACATTAATAACAAAATATCATCCCTAAAAATGCTCTCTCTCATCTCTTCTCTCTCTCTCTCTCTCATCTCTTCTCCATCTCCCTCTCTCTCATTCTCGTAACTTAATCTTAATCTGGTATATATGTTAGGAAAAAAAAAAGCGCAAAACACTGGTTATATACTCAACATAACCATATATATATATATATACACACATATACGTGATTGTGTCTACGAAAACATATACTGAAAATATATTACCTATATACACAACATATACAAAATATAAATATCACATATACAGTCTTGAAAACACTACAGAGTTACAGCCCCATATACTGTAAGTATATCATTCGTGCACATATACATAACATAATCGTGTTATATACAGTATGTTCATTGCTCTCTCATCCCCAGTCCGTTCAAGAAGCCGCCATTTGATTGGGGCGCAGGTGCGATGCCCGACTGAGGTAAGGCGTCGGATGGAGACGGGGAGGAGACCGACGGCGGCGAGTCGACAGTCGCCGGGGAAGGAGAAAGAGGCGAGGTGGCGACGTGGCAGACGCCGTCGGGCCGCGGAAGGAGAATTTAGTGTGTAGAAGAAAGATGAAGAAAATTAGGGATCGACAATTGCCAAAAGATTAATAAATTGATTGACTGTTGTTTTAGAGTCCATATTAACTGCAAATCCTTACAACCCATCACTTTCCTAAAAAAAAGGCAAAACGCATGAGACAAATAAATTCATGATTTGTTGTATATATGCTAATAAAATATTTGAATCGTATAAGTGCAATTAAAATTGTTTTGCCTCGTGTAGGGTATAATTTTCTCTTATCAAAATTATGCAGAATTCAATAGTTACTAGAGGAAATTGCATCCTCTACTTAAACAATCTAAAAATATTATATAATCACATCTCCTATATAATTATTTACAAATTAACTAAATTTGTTATATTTATTTGCATATATGCCTAAAAAGTTGATTTCCTATTTACATGGTAACTTCTATTCCTATTTACATGGCAACTTCTCATCAATTAGGTCTCTCTCCTCTCCCCATCTCGTTCTCTTCTTAACACACGGCTCTATTTCTCTCTTCTTGGAAAATACAGTTCTTTTGTTCTGACGATTTTATTTTTAATTTCTTTTCTTTCTCCTTAATTCCTGAAAGTGATGATATGGGGTAGGGTTTCGAACTCTGCACACAATTAGGTGAAGCTTTGTCTTATATAGAAAGTGAGATGATTGCCGTAGAGAATTTATCGACGCCGGCGGCGATGATTTAGTGACGGGGAAGATGAAGAAGACGATCGGCGAGGCGGTGCTCTACTAATTAGATGTCCCTTTGTCTTTTGTTGTCATTATTTGAGGATTATATGGAGAAGCTCTGAATTGAAATTAGTTGCACAAAAAATAAAGTGAAGTACTAGCAGATGAAGAGCTGAGACCTGTTTGCCATCTTTTGTATAGTCTTCGGGCAAGTTATTCAGGTCTAAAGGACTATTACCCTCTGGTCTCGTGCAAAAACAAACCAACAACATATTATACCAAAAAAAAAAAAAATAATAATAATAATAAAAAATCCAAGGTATATGTTGTGTATATATGGAGTATATGTTCAGTATATATTCTGTATAATAGAAGATTTATTGTCGAACGCTTGATGTGCTTGATTCGTTGATAGATAGTTTTCATTTTGTATATGTTGTGTGTATATGGAGTATATGTTTTCATTTTGATAGATTTTTTCTTGTTTTTATTGTTCCATGAAAATTGTATAGTTTATTTCCAGTATATTATTAGTCATGTTTTTCTGTTTTCCATGTTTTTTTTTCTCATGATATTAACAGGAAGACGTTCGGTAATATGTAATAGTTAAAAATTTTCAGTATATTTCTCATGACATTAACAGGAAGACGTTCGACAGCATATTATCAGTATATTTTCGGTATATTCTGCCGTCAAATATTTAAAGTCAGGGTTTATATTCAGTATATTTTCGGTATATTCTCAAAGGAGCAATGTTTAAAAAAAAAACGATATATATATCCTTAAAAAACGATATATATACCATTAAAAATGATTAAAAAAATTATATATATACCATTAAAAAAACCGACACATATACCAATTGAAACTAAAAAAATCCATTTAATGAATGATCAAAGATAGAACAATAAATATAAAATAAAAAAATGAACATGGAAACATAATTCCGATCA